TGATCAGATTGGTGCAGATGTTGCTTGTGCTGTTTGAGTTTTCAGCAGTTTGAAGCAACCAGGTCTTCATACAGCCAGATCAGTCGGTCAGTTCAACCTCAAGTTAGAGAATCGTATTTGCCAATCTCAGTAGTCAAGCTTATCAGTTTTTCTGACACAAGATTGACAAATGTCAAATCATAATTGACTAATTAACAATAAAATTTGTCAGGAAATTTCCATACGAAATTTCCATCAGTAGTTGTCTACCTATTTAGAGTAACATTCAGCAAAGTTGATTTGTTAAAAATGCTTTGACTACTGCCAAGGACTAACATCTATGTCTTCTGCTTGCTGCAATGCCTGAACTCTACCAGCTCACTTTGATTGTTAAAGAAAACCAGTCTTCAGAGATTAGATTCCCCAGTAGGATTCTAGGTGAGATTCAGGGGAATATTAGGTGCACATTATGCAGATAATAATGTCTTACTGAAAGAGACTGCAACAATATTCCATTTTTATGCCATTTTACATTCACAGAACGCTTAGGAATATATCTGGACTAAAGCCCCATCAGCGACTCAAATAGCCTCTGAAACATTAATGTTTTACCTGAAGCAGTTCCCGTTTACAGAGGGATTGAAGCTTTGGTCAAGAGTACCTTTGGTGAAATCATTGGAGCCCTGCTGGGATACAGATTAGCCCTGCTGTTCGTGACCAGCGACTGGAATGACATTTTAACGATTATATCTCTGCAGCTAAATGAAACCCACCCAGAAATTTGCTTCAGTGTTGCCGCTTTTTATTTAGCAAATATCAATAATAGAAGTAGTACAAAAGGAATCATCTAGTTTCAAGCTGCTGCCTTTGTGCTCTGTAATTTTAATTCTGTAATTTTCCGACACATGCACATCAATTTTGCGTGTTTTCTGTGAATGCATTAACGATTTTCTCTTTCAGTTCATGCGTTGTTCTAGAGCCAAAGCTCCCTGGAAACGGGGAGTGATTTCTGGAGAAATTATATCTTCTTGTAAGCATTAGGCTCTTCAGAGTCACACATGTCTGTGATCACCTGCCACCATACCTGAAATTACCAGCAAACACTCAGGACCTCACAGAAGTGCTCTACTCTTTGTGTGTGGCTGTCTAATGAAGGGCTTTAGTAATTACAGTTTGATTGTTATTGTTTGACTGTGATGTGTAAACATCTAAGAGCTGTTGAAATGTGCATGGAGATGTGGATGCTGGGGAGGCGGTGCCTCCAGCAGCTCCATCCAAGTCATTACAGTGAAGAATGTCTCCCCTCCCTCCTTCCACAGTGGGTTCACTATTGAACTGGCCTCTGCACTCACAGTCGTGTTCGCTTCAAATATCGGAATCCCTGTCAGTACCACACACTGCAAGGTATGACTGAGTGGCCCCTCCCACTCCCTCAGACTGACCTCTTGACCCCTTAAGGTCCCTCCAGGGAAGAGGGGAGCTCACACTTTCTCCCAGAGTGCCAGGCCTTAGATTATCCCTGAAGACAGAAAGTAAATCCTCTAAAACTTGCTGAATTCTAACATTTGAATTTATTGTCGTTAAAATTTTCTGATTTATGGCAATTTTTTGAAGGCTTTGACAATCTTTTTTTTTTTTTTAACTGAAAATATTTTTGATTGAGCTCATCTCTAAACATGGAAAGACTACAATAGAGATCAAATATGACAAATTTATTAATAAAAAAAAAAAAAAAAAAAAGAAGAGAAAACAGACTGAGATTTGGTAGATTTTTTTGGAGTATTTTAATTCCTGCTGTGTCATGTACATAAACTCCTCAGCATTAACTGTTGAAGCTGGGTAAGCAAATTTCAGTTCACACCTCTAGGGTCGAGCAATGAAGGAAAAACAATATGTATCGCGATAGACATGTGATCAATATTGATATATGATGTCGGATCAAATTTTCAATAATTTCACTGAACTCCGCTCTAAAACCGCATAGCATTCTGGGGGATGTAGGCGAGGTAAACAAGGTGGGCGGCATCAACTAACTCACTCACTCTTTGGTTGCCTAGCAACAGCCTGTTGGGTAACATGTGCAGCAGCAGTTTCAGGTTTCACCAGCATGCCTCATTACCCTTAAATAAAAAATAA